TAAGGTTAATACAATATAGGCTTGAAGCATGTTAGCTCTTTTTTTCCTCTCATATATGAATGACTATTATTAGATTTTTTTTTTACTTAGGAATAAATGGTCTAGTTATATTTTTTATTTGTATAACATGGTGGTCCCTAACATAAATTTAGGAATATTAATTTAAAGATAGGGTTCATATACTGAGGCTATTTGAAATATCTATATCTCTATCTCTACTAACAATCTCTTCCACTAAATTTGTTTTAGAAATCTAAAAAATTAGATTTTTGGAAAAAAATTGCTTTATAAATTATGCAAAGTACTATTTTTTCTTATAGTTGTCAATAATATATTTTAAATTAGATGATATTATAAGATATTTTGGATTTTTTATTATTTGTATAGTAAAATAATTATGAAATGTAGGCCAACAATTTCAAGTTAAGTATATAATATTATAATTAGTTAGGTTGTAATAATTTTGGATTATAGTTAGTTAGGTTGTAATAATTTGGATTTTTTTAGTGAAATAGGGTTTTCTGCCAATTCAAGATTTTGGTTGCCATTTTTACATCGATTTAATCCATTCTTTATTGTAGTTCATATATGATGATATACTTCATCCATGATAATTCTATGCTTATCCTTTTGTGTGATGTAAATTTAATTGTTAACAGTAGTTCATACAGGGAAAAAACATCTCAATATTCACATATTGATGCAAAAAAAATGAAATTTCTTAATGGAGTACCCCCATTTTTTATTGGATTCCTAAAAAAAATATTTATACTAAATTTTAATAATTTTTTCGGATTTTTTTTTAAGACTAAATCAGACCGATTCTCGATCCGAATCGCCAATTTACCGATCCGGATGGGTTTTTGGGGTGCCCGATTCAGGGCACCGATTTGTTTTTTAAACCACTGCTATAAACCTTTGAATGAACCTACAAAAGGCTTTCATAAAGAGTGCAAAGATGTGTCTTAACCTATTTCAATTTATTGCAGAATAGAAGATGAGCGTCCTACGATAAAAATGTGATATCTCTCAACTCACAAAGAGTTTATTTCTAAAACCTTTTTGAGTATTAAGATAAACTCAGAAATACAAAACAGTGCTTAGTGCCATCTCCAAATCACACCATTTAGAGAGTCTACGATTTAGTAACATTTACGTCACAATACAATTTTCATAACAGAAAATTAGGATGCACACCCCTCTATAAATTCATTGTTTCTCTCAATCCACAAAGGATTTCTTCCTCAACCTTTCTTGTTGAAAACTAGACTCATAACCAAAACTTAACGTTATGGTGTGAATTCCAAATGATATTTTTTTACATGAAAATAAATAAGTGACATTTATGTCAAAATATAGCTAATTCTACAAAATTCCATGATGAATACTATTCAATAAAATTACCTTTTTTTTTTACCCACATAGAGTGTTCCTTTCAAACCCTTTTTGTTTGAAAGCTGATATAAAATGGCAACAAATATCTTTCTGTAGGCTGTATATCAATCTGTTACGTAGGTGTAATAAATATAGATATTCACATCTCAATAAAACACATCAAATTGTAAAAATTCAGGATGATCCATCTCCAATAGTTTTTCTTGTTTATTTCCCACATATTTTCTCTCTCAAATAATTTTTGTTAGAAAATAGACTCAAAATAGCAGCTTAACAACTCAATATTGGCCTTAAAATATTTTATTAAAAATAGAAATAAAATCATGACATTCTTGTCACAGAAATGATCATTTTTGCAAAAAATAGTATTTGAGTACCTTTCAATAAAATCACCATACCTTTTAAACCAAAAGGGTATTCTTCATAAATTTTTTTTTGTTTGGAAGTAGACTCAATTTCATGAGTTATAGTAAAATATTATCTAGAAATAAAATTATTTTGGTGAAAAAAATCATGAAACTGAGTATATTGTTCTTGGATTTTGCAAAGTCAGAACTGACACTCTTCAATGATGAGTCCATAACTCTCAATTTTTCCTTGATCTCCTATTGAAATTTTGCAGGGATATACTAATATAAAAAACACAAAATATTAGTCAGTATGCGTAAATAAAAATATTCATCATTTGCTTCATATTAGTGCGCCAAAACAACACGAATACCTTAATTTGCAGATTACCTCTTAGTGTTGGAATCACGCCAATAATCCTTCCCGAGGTGTATCGCTCAACCACAAAGCCATTGGCTCTCAAATCTATAGTTTCTAAAACTCACCAAAACAGTGAAATAAAAGGAATAGAGCAATAAGAGATCTAGCTTTGATACCAATGAAGGTGAACTATTGTAATCAGGGCAAGTGTATACCAATTAAAATTTTTCTTTCATTTTCTTTATTTTTACCGTACAGATCACTTACAAGTGTCCAAACACATTATGAAAAATAATAAAAACACAAAGAATCCCATGGACTCTCACTTGCTTTCATTTTAATTATTCTTTTTTTGCACGAAAAATAATTGCATGGACTTGATCTTTGGGAGCATGAAACACGTAACTGCATAAACAGAAAATAAATTGCCTCAAAATTACTTCAACATGACTTATACACCCCACTCCAAGTTTCATCCTTCGATGGCGCACATGATCAATGGTCTATCTCAAATCTTTGAAGCATATGAAAAAGTTAGTCTACGACCCTTAATTAAATCAGAGTGCAATGGAACAAACTTGGAGCAAGCCTAGACCTCAATGTCTAATATAGGGCATTCTAATTCTGGGCACCATAGGCTTGGGGCATGTCCCTTATTTCTACCTCAATATTTTTCTAAGGTAGAGAAGAGAGACAGCTTAGAGAGATGAGAGAGAGGGTGGCATGCCACCTAGAGAGAGAAGAGATGTTAAAAATGTAGAAAATGAGTCTTTATTTGTTGACTTTCTCTAGGGTTTCTTAGGGTTAGTTATCTTTATGGAGATTAGACCCTGACCCATTATCATAAGAGACCTGTGGGGTGAAAGATCTGAATCATATAATCATTAGATAAATCATCATGATTCAAAGGAATGTGTTAGAACTTTATCCTTCAACTTCTTTAACCTAATCTAATCAACTAAATAAAATATGAAAAGGTAATATACTTGCCTTTCTTTTCTATAATCTTATTACACATGCTTTAATTTGAAAATTAAATCACCTTAAATCTCAAATCTTCTATTTTTATTTCAATTAGATTGAGTGCCTTAGATGACCTCTCCACAAAAATGGAAAAAAACCCCACTAAGTGGGGCGTGCAACAGATGGGGCCTCTAGTGGGTCCCACGCACCATCAAATCCAATTATGGTGAGGGCCCTCATATATTATATAAATTATAAAACTCGTAAAATATTTTTTTTAAAATTATTATTTTATTTTTCTCTCTGAATATTGGAAATTCATTTTCTCTCTATTTATAATCTATTTTTTGAGAAAATAAAATATCCAGAGACTTCTAAAATTCAAACTATTAGTCTAAAAATCATTTAACATCAAAATACTTAATTCTAATTTTTTTTAATGTGATATGGATTCAACTTGGTCAAGAATTATAGATATGCTGAAGCATTCCATCTTTTACTGCGGACTATAATCCACACTCACTTTTGTAGACTAATCAAGTTTCCATTACCGATAGACCATCGAAGGGCTGCATGATTAGGCAACCAAAGTCAGCCAATAGGTATGGGGATAAAATGCCAGTATTTGGATTACAGGTTCTCCCCAAGGGACAAGTCCGAGGCCACAGGGATCTGGTGCAACCATAACTCTATGGTGGATAGGGTGTTCTCTCGCATATATACACGCATCACCTTCAATAGTGATTTTCTTTTCAAATACAACTATCATATATATATATATATATATGTCATATAATGGTTCACAGATTAGGCTTTGGCATTCGTTCCAACAGACCTACCATTACACAAGGGTCACATTGTCCCTTGATTCTCTATCCTAGGCAAATTCGATCTCATTTAGGGATAACTGTGCTAATTCTCATTGGTTGTGCTCTATGGCCAGATAATTAAGGGTTTTCTAACTCGGTTGTCCTAGCACGTTAAGCTTAGTCTTAGTATCGACAAATAACGTTTACCTATCTCGGTCAATTGAACCATGATCTCTTGGTCCCTGTTGAGACTATTCTTACTGGAGTTCTTTATTCCACTATAACAAATATTGATTATATGCTCTTGTAAGGCCTTTAATGGCCACATAAACCCAACACACGCACAAACACACATATATGTGGTATTTATGTGATCCAAAAAATTACCTATACTCTCTTCATGCCAATAGAAATAAAATTCAATTTGCACCATTGATAGTCAAAGTGGATTCCCTCTAAGAATGAATCTCGACCATCTATTTGATGAATTTTAAGATCTAAGCCTTTACAGACTCAAAATTATTATTTTTAATTTTTACCACTATCATCTAATGATCATAAAACATTCTAAAATTTTGGAAAGGGAAAAGTTTGTTCTAAGGCCTAGATTTAAGCAATTCCTAAAGTGGATGGCAATGTTAATTGGCTAAAACAAATACTTTCTAAATAGTGCTTTCAAAAATTATTTTTTTCAAATGTTTATTGGAATGAAAAGCATGTATATTTAAAAATTCAGGTAAAAGTACTTGATGTTTAAATATTGTTTCATTATATTACTGTACAAACATTACATGAAATCATTCCCAATATATCCATATGCTTCTCCTATGTATATATTTCTCTTTGTATTCTTTTCCTCTATATACGTGCGTGAATTTAAAAATAAAAAATAATATTTTGTGATTTATGTTTTTAGACCGTTAATTTATCGGTGGTAGTGGCACCACCAAGCCTCAGGGGACCAAAATGTAGACGTGCGTCCGATCCTTTTTTCATTTCATAATGCACCTGTCTCTTTTCCCGCCGTTTCAAGAATGCACTGGCGGAGGAAGCCTTCTTCTTTCTTGCTCTAAATTCTCCCTCTTCCTCATTTTCCCTTTGCAATTCTCCCTTCTCTCTCTACCTTTCTCATTTCTCTCTCCTCCTCCCCTTCTCTCTCCTATTCTCTCTCTGCAGTTTTCTCTGAACAACTATGGTGCGAAGGAAAGCAATTCCAGTGCGAAGGGAAGCAATTCCGGTGGGAAGCTCAACGGGAGGTCAGTTTCTTCCCCTTCTGAAAACAGTTTCATTTACCCATTTTAATTCCTCTCAGAATATATGGCTTATCTTTGCTGCTTCTCTCTTTTCCCTCTAATAAGGAGCGACTGATTTCTCTGTGTCATTCACCGAAGAAAGAGGTGATCATTTCTTCCAATCATCTGGTCTAACTTTCTTTAAACTATTTCTAAATTATGGTTCCTGATGGAGAGTCTTTCTTTTCAATCTTTAATTTTTTTCCGGTAGCTAGAAGGCAAAGAAATGCACGCACTTCTGATTCAGAAGAATCTTGGTCATCTGATTCGAGTGGTAAGCCCTCTGTTTCATTTGGTTTTAGCTGCTCAAGTGAACAATATTTCTTTTCTTCATCACACATTGTTCGTTTTTCTCTTTTTATCCATAATCTTGGTTCTTCGTCCATTTGTATAGAATTTCTTTGAATTAATTTTCTTTGAAATAATTGATTTGCCGTATGAAGATTGTCATTTTGACTTATGGATTCCATGGAATTCAGAATCGGATGAGTCCTTGGAGCCAAAGGTTCAATCTCAGAGACAAACCAGGCCCCAGGTGAATGCCGCAGTCAAAGAAGAAGCTGGTGATGCACCTGAAGTGAATGATGTGATTGATTCTTTGAGAGTACCAAAACCTAGTGAGACTGAGGAAGATTTGAACATGAATAGAAGCCCAATTCGTGATGTCGTTGATGCAGATATGATACAGAAAAACCCTGGTGTCGCAGCCCTAAGGAATATGAGGAAGATATACAGGCCAACATGGAACTTCCCACATAAATACCATTTCCCGCGATTGCCATGGGAAAAATGGGAGGAAGAGAACATTGACTGGTTAAATGATTCTGGAAAAAAAGATATTGAATTGGATCCTTTGGCCCCCTCTAATGGTGGAACCCCTGATTCAATTGACCCATCTCCTGAGATATTGGTTCCTCTATTTCAGTTTCAGAGAGAATGGTTATCTTGGAGCATGAAGCAAGAGGAGTCGGAGATGAGGGGTGGTATTCTTGCCGATGAAATGGGAATGGGAAAGACCCTTCAAGCCATATCCCTTGTTCTTAAAGCCCGAAAACTTCCAAACCCTTTCGTTAAACCCAAAATGCCCATTGATGGTGGTTTGCCTAGAGTGAAAGGAACCCTTGTGGTTTGCCCTCTTGTTGCTATCAATCAATGGAAATATGAGATCTATAGGTTTACAGCTCAAGGAAGCAACACAGTTCTTATATATCACGGCACCAAACGATTTAAGGATGCTTTGCAGTTCTCAGAGTATGATTTCATTCTAACCACCTACTCCATGGTTGTGGCAGACTACAGGAAGAATGTTATTAGTCCAAAGCCAAAGAAGCAAACCAAAAAGCTGTTTCCAGCCTCGGGGCCATTTCATTTGCATTCGGTAAAATGGGAGCGCATCATCTTGGATGAGGTAAACTTTGTTCAATGATTCCATTGAAAAATTTCTCAATTTTGATCAAGTCTTTGTCATGGGTTTATGATGTGCTTGATTGTTATGTGTGGAAACTTGTCTGACTGCCATTTTCTGATTCAAACTTGTTGGATTTATTCATGTTTTCTAGCCTTGCTTAGAGTTTTGACAATAGCCTGATCATGTTGAAATCGTAATATTCTGCTTTCTATAAGCATCTAAATAATATGTATCGGAATGTTCATGGTTACAAAAATCTCTTAAATTTGATTTTATTCTTCTGACTTCGAGTTGCGTTGGATTCAACCCAAACCCTACTGCCTACGAAGTTAAGAAATAATGGTTCTCTAGTAAATTACCTGGAAAGAACGACGGTTTGCATGGAATTAAAAACTCTATGTTATGTTTCCTCACAAAGTCGTTAACGCCTCTGATCTGTACACTTCCAGACTATTTCTTCTTCAGTAAGTTATATTCTCAATATTATCTTGATAGTCTACTGCTCTTTAGCTTCATGTACCTTCTACCCAACTCAAAATGTAGTCTATAATTGTAATAATCTGCTTATGATTATGTTGACTTGTGCTTTAGATTCCAAACATTGTCATTTTTATTGGTCTGTGTTTTGCAATTATCTAGACCTCATCTTTACTGTTTTATGAAGTGATCACTGTATAAATTTTATGGATCCCTGATTCATTCAAAAAGATTAAACCTTGTACATTCTGATTCTTTTTCTTTTTTTGATCGATCCAAGGTAGGTTACTAAGTTGTGATAGTTCAACTTATAACAGTAACAGAGACCCCTGTTTCCACAGAGAAACAGGTTTCACAAATCTGGGAGTTATTTTGAAATCAGGAAAATTTGAGCCTAAAACTGTTTCGCATCCTAGATACGTGACAATTTGGATTAACTCAAATTGTGAAGCTGATGAGACAGATATCATATACTTAGGTTCTTTGTTGTAATGAAAGCATCTAGGACACTACTGATGGTTGTCCGTTCATAGAGTTTGGAAATTTATTTTCTTATCTTGCAAGGGGGTTTCTTTCCACTTCTTATCAGTTGAAATCCTTTTGGATTGAAGTTTTTGTATTTGTGATGCCAAGCATTTCTTGCATGCTAAATTTTCGTTGGTTTCTTTCTCTTTGTATTTGTTATGCCAATCCTTTTAGACACAGGTACTAGGTGATGGATTCTTTGAGCCTCCAAAAGTAGGATTTGGGGACATGGTGTATATTTATATATCTATATATCTCGTTGTTTGCTTTTGTCTGTGTGTTCTGTGTAGTGTGTGGGTGAGTGTGTGTGTTGTGCAACCCTGTCTGAAAATTTTTCCTAAATTTACTTGAGGGCTAATAATGGTAATATGCATATCCTGCAAATGAAGTTTGAATTTCCTGAGTCTCTTGCCCATGATACTCTTCTACTCTCAAAGATGGGTTTTAATTTTTAAAATTACCTCTGATGTTCTATCTTCATGATAACAGCAAATAAGTCTTTTTTTTTTTTTTTTAAAGTGAATGAGATATTGGCTTTCCAAAGAGAGAACGTAAGGTTTTAAAGAGTGATAGGGTTTTTAGAGAGACAATGTTAGAGATAATACGAATGATTCAGATTTGAGAACGAGATTGGGTTTTTAGAGATAGAATAATTTTTTTTAGAGAGAGAAAGAAAGATTGAGTTTCTAGATAGAATGGTTTTAGAGAAATTGTCTTTTTAGGGAGAATAGGTTTTTAGTTAGAGAGAGTTTGGGCTTCCAGGTTTAGAAAGATACAAAGAGAGAGATCGTGTTTATGAGAATGGGCTTTTAGAAATGTAAAGAGAGATCGGGTTTTTAGAAAAATAAAGAGATATTGAGTTTTTAGATAGAGAACATAAATTTGTATAGAGAAAAAAAGATTTTGGGTTTAGAGAAATTGCGTTTTTAGGGTGAGAGATTTTTTAGAGAGTTTGAGAGAGAGGAGAGAATGGTTTTTAGAGAAAAAGAAAGAATTAGAGTTTTTAGAGAGAGAATGTGTTTTAAATATTTTAAAAAATATTTTTAGCATGGATTTATTTTTTTATTGTTTTCTTACTACAAACAACGAAAAATTCTGAAGAGTGACGATTTAAAAAAAGAAAAGAAAAAGGCATATTAAATGGGCCAGACCGGGCGTTATTTGGGCTGGGGCAAGTCATTTTTAGCCTTACTACACCGGCCGCCTGCGGCAAAAAATTCTGGGCCAGCCTGGCCCCATAAACACTGGTGCACGGACCCAGCCTGATAGAGGCCCAGAAGCCGGAGGCCCTGCCGGGTTCATTAGCAGGCCTAACTCCTCCACAAAAATTGCAAAAATTCAAGAGTCCTGCCAAGTTATGGTGAGAAACCCACAAAGTATTGGACAGGGTGTGGTTTAGGGTTTACTAGATTTAAGTTAGATGCGTACCCCTTCTCTTTGTTCATGGTTTAAATATAGAAAATTAATTAAACTGAGTCACCATCATCCGAGTCTAAATTAATTAATTAAAATTAACAAAAGCATAAAATATAATATCATATTCATGATGTGTCAGATTTCACGTCTCCACCTGTCTTGAGCATCCAACCTTGTACACAGGTTTCATCATGAGTCAGATTTCCTAATCAATTTTCTAATTCTAAATTCTAACTATTTGAGTTCGCTGTTAAACAAGGCACACTGTATAAAAGACAGCCGAAGGAACACTGCGAAGGCTGTTTTTGCTTTGGAATCTTCTTATAAATGGGCTCTAAGTGGCACCCCTTTTCAGAAAAGTGTTGAAGAGTTGTATTCATTGGTCAGTACAGAGATTTCTTGACCTTCAATGGATTGTTCTTTTGGATTAATACTACACTATTCACTTTATTGGCTCATATAAATTATTTAATTTTCTACAGATACGCTTTCTGCAGATAGAACCTTATGCATATCACTATTGCAAGTATTGTTCCTGCAAATTACTCGATCATAGGTCTGCTATCTGATCTTCAGTTTGATGCCCTTTTGTTTTTCTTTCATTTTGCTTTGGCTAATTGGAATTTAATGCTGATCTCCCTTAGCGTTCAGTGTTGCAGTTGAGATTTTAAAAGTACATATGTCAGTTCATTATTCATTGATAGAATTTCCATTTCCTTTAACTTCTAAAGTCCTGTAAAGCATATGGGCATCCCTTTGTGACATCCCACAACATAGTGAACAAATCTACATCTTTTGAAAATTGTTAGTTCACTGAACTATATATACTCCAAAGATATATCTGGTAATATGATACACATCCGAAGGGTACTGTTGTGTGTTGCCATTCTTTTGCATTTTGAATACATTAAGGATTGTGTGCGAACATGGGGTGGAGTGTATTCTTGTGGTGCACAGATGATTCGTTTGGAAGTAGGTCTCTCCTCATTCCGAGCAGATTGTAATACATGGAAAAATGAAAATGTGCTTTGGCTGCGAGGTTGCCATCCAAATATACCTAAAATAAGTTCCGTTCCTAATTTCCTTTATGATCACAGAGCTTCCATACAGGTTGCTACCAGAAGGCACCTAAATGAGCTCCATTTCCTTTGATGGTCTCTAGAGTGGTCAAAATTGTGAAACTGTCACAGCTTAGCTGGCTATCTAATCATGCTGTAAACATCTCTATTTCATAATTGTGTTTAAGAATAATATAAAACGGTGCGAAATGATAAAAAAGGATTTAGGTAACCTTGGCTTGGAGTGGGTAATGCTTTTCTTTGCTTGCTTTAATGAATAACTTATTTATATAGATTAATTACGCAAGAATATGATATTGATTCTGTGTTTGGCACTTGCTAGGTACAAACAATTAAAACATTGTAATATGGCTGTTGCTTTAAGGTGCAAATAAATACTTATGGTCTCCATTATAAGCAGGATGTCATGTAGATCCTCATGCCATTTTGGTTTGTCTGTCTATTAGTTAACATGATGAAACCTTGTGTGTGTGTGTGTACTTGTGCGTGTGCGCACGCGCAGGGGGAGTTGTGTGGGTATGGGTGTGTTTGTGTTTTCTTTTGAGTAACATTGTGTTAATCATTTTTGGCTCAAGAACACATGCAAAGTGAGAAGTATACCACACAAAAAGAAACTAAAAGATGGGGATAAGAAATGAGATGAATAACTCATCCAAGAGGATGTCTTTGGCCAAGCAAACTTGTGTGTTTAGTGAAATAAGGTCGTATTGCTAATGATTGCTGCTATATAGGAAAGTAACTTGGGAGTTCTGTTTTATTTAATGTTTTCTTGTATCAATGGGGTATCTATCCTTTTCTTAGTTGTGTCTAAAAGTGAGTCATTTGATCAATGAAGGGAGTTCAAAGGCATTTTTACTGCAATCATTGTAGCTAAGTTTTGAAGCATACAGGGGGACTATCAGTCTAAATGTCCGGGATATGGCATGGAACATTTAATCATCATAGTAAAGGGGGTTTAGTAAGTAGTCCATATAGGTCTTGCCAACTGTATGGCTCAAACCAATTCCGATACTTCCAGCAAGCTGATTCAACTTGCAGAGATGACAGTTGCTAGCCGTGATGCGTAGGTTTAAACTTTTACTATATGATCTGTTCATGGATTTGTTTTTGAAAAATTGCAAAATTTTATATATGTCACAATAGTCTTGATGGATTTGTGTTACAAGAGATAAATCTGTAGTTTAGGTGTGACCAAATGAGATTTTTGTGGCTCCTTGGTTAATGTGTTTCCATTTATCTTTCTATTTCGGTGTCTTTTGGGTATTTGGGTCTTTGTCTTGATGGTTCCTGTAGAATGTTCACCATTTCACTCAATTATTTTGGGATTTTACTTTATTCACTTTATGTTCTCTATTAACTTATTGAAGTTTTGTGTGGAACTGTTATTTCTCAGTTGTGGTAGGTTCTGCTTTGAGCGTTTCCATTTCGGACATGTACGGTTGGATGTTACCTTGGTTCATTCTTTTGTGGCTATGGAGCTCTACTACTCTTTTCCTTTGTATAGTTATAGGGTCCAACCATTTACATGCATAAGAATTCTACTGACACAGCTGACTTATTAGCTATTCCCTTAATGAGTGCCATGTATTGTGCTTCTAAATAAAGTTTTTGTGTTTTAGCCTATACACATGCATATAAAAGTTTTGCTTAGCAAGTGCCACCAAGTCAGAATATATTGGTTGAATTATTAGTTACAAATTCTTAGGGATTACTGCATGCTAGGGTGAACTTTGCGAGGAAGGTGCTATGGAGACAGGCAGCTAGACTAATGTTATCAAATGTGTGATGCAGACTCGATGTGATTGGCTGTCCGATTTGGGGTACTGTCCGTACGGCTCGATGTGGTCCCATAGTGGGGGCAGCATTGCATATGATGCAGTCAATGAATTAAAAGAAAAAGGAAAATCATAAAATATAAGAATGCATTGAAAAACGCATGTTTGATTTATGTGATAGTAGAAATTTAAATTTAGTACTTCTCTCAAATACATTAGCTATCTGAGTCGCTTGGTAACCTGATTATCTGATGAAGAATAAAAGAGTTTGTTGTCTTAAATGTTGTATAAAGTAATCACTTCACCGAATAGTAATGACAACTTAACAATTTAACGTAATATCCAACGACAAAAAAGTACTTCACAATCACAAGTTTATGGCCACAACCTCGCAGCCACAGCCTTAACATAACTTTCAAACTCTAACGACCAAAAGTTCATAACATATAAAGTATAAAAGATAATGAATACACTCGAGCTCAATGAGTCAATAAGACAACTCTCAGTTCTCAAGTCTTAGTCATCTAAGTCATATGATGATCCATGATGTGCATCTCCCCCATCCAAACCCGTGATTGAATAGTCGTCATTGTCAGTATCAGTGCCCACCACATACACTTCTTCCTCCTCTTTCTCCTCCAAGTCAGCCTCCACCTCTATGTCTGGAACAAATGTCAATATGGACCTGACTCTCTTCCTTGGAATCTTGTGCTATGCCTTGTTTCTTTCCAAACCGTGTAGCTTGCTCAACATCCAACCAAGCAAGGTCCTCACGCTTGAACACCTGATCTAATTGTGGATCTACTATCTGCTCATGCCTTTGAGTTCATCCAACACAATTGGGTCCACATTCATTTGCTTTAAGAACCTCTTCCTTAGAACAATGGAAGTACGGTTCAAGGGGTTTTGGGAGGTTTATACTTTTTTTATACCATTCCCCCCCTTTTCGGGGTGTGGATTTATTCATGTGCAGCAACATTGCCCTTAATGCAATGCAGTGCATACACATTATGCCGCATATGTGAGCGCAACACAAATTCCTGCATGTGGAGGTGGAGGGTTTGCTCCTAAGGCTGCATTGTTGGGGTATGTGGCCTTTCGAGGCTTTGAGAGCATATAAGAAAACTCATGATTATAGTGATAGTGTACTCTAGTGAGAGTGTGGTCCATGTGGAACAAGAGGGACATACTTCGTAATGCCCATTTACTCACTGGGGTTGGGGGGTGTAAGATTGAGAAAGGAGTCCAAAAATCCTAAGCATGGGGTATAAGGCACAACCACGTATTTTTTGCAGGTTAGCCCTTGTTGAGGTCAGAGAGATGCTCAGGGTGGTTTTAACTAAGAGGTAGCATCTCTCCTATGTGTGATTGGAAGCTTATGAGGGCTACGGCAAATCTTCAACACTACCACCACATGGCATATACACATGATGGCCACATCTATGAGAAGCGATCTGTGAGGTTAAAACATATACATGTGCTGAAGAGAGGGCCCCTCCTGCACTATTGCAATAACGAACATATGTCCATTCAAGATATTGTCTTTAGGAGGAATGTGGAATCCACACACTAGGCTCATGTTCCCATTATTTATTGGCTGGCTTTGATGGTCCAATCGTGAGCACATGTGATGGACTGTAGATTATGGATTCTATTAGGTTAGTTTGAGGAGATAATCCGTGAAACATGGGAACCAACGGAGGTGGAGTGCCCTAGACACTTGCATATTCTTGACCGAATGGATCCATATCTCTTCTAGTTTTGTTTAAAAGCATTTTAGCAAATTCCTTGATTGAAAAATAAAATTTTGGAGTGTGCTCAAAATATTTTATTTTTGCATCACAATTTTTAATATAACACGATTTTTCAGAATTTAAATTTTGTAGGATTTTTAAAAATACTTGTTTGAATTTTAAAATTTGTCTTAGTACATCAAAAATCGTAGACCCACGTGGGGCCTATATGGAGAAGTCCCACACGTGGGTGACTTTTGAAGTGTTGTGGGGGTCCTACGGGTCTCCTATAAGGTTTAGGAAACCATGGAAGTCCCATGGGAACAAGTAGTTTATTCTTGTTCCATTTGAAAAATATTTTCTAGTGTTTTGACAAATTAGGAAAAGTTGAGGATGATTTCTAGAAGGATTAGAAGCTTCTTGGTGGAGTTCGGATGGAATTGGAATTGTTCTTACAAAAAGAAATACAATCCTAATTGGATTTAAAGAGATAGAAATTCCTTGACTCAATTCTAAGGGATAATGGTTCTATATCCACCCTTCACTATGATGGCTGATTTAGGGAATAAATTAAAAGTCTCTCTTCGTCCCACAAATCACCTTAGATTAATGGTCTAGATTGGGTCTTCCTTGGATCTTGTTGAAGAGGATTCAGCAAGGATAAGGATCAGTTTAATGAAGTCCTTTTGAGATGGTCAATGCAAATTACACTCTATTTGGGTAATGGCTTCCTATTGTTCCCACTTGAATTGTTAATTGTATTTTTCGTTTTTTAAATGAATAAAAAGAGTTATTTCTTAGTATCAAGATAGGATGTTTTTCCTTTATTTTATTGGAATGTTTGTTGTATGTGGCACTCATAAATAGACTCATCGGTGTAGTTAATAAAAATTATGAATTTACATACACTACGTGGGATCTATATAGTCACCTTTCACGTGTAACTCATGATGCAGTTGCATAATGCATCAAGCGGCCGCACTTGATAACATTGGCAAGGAAGCAGTCGTTTCTAGCTGGATGCAATTGTCATCGCTCTGATAAGTGGTTTTGCAACTTTAGGTTCCATCTTATGACTCTAACATTGAATGTTATATAATTTGCATATACTGATTCCTGATCTCTTTTAAGGGTAAACCTTCTAGGATTTTGCATCTGTTAGTTAATATAATTATCCAAAAATTCAAAGTGATAGGTTTATATCCAATTGTTAGCAGACATCTGTTCTTTTCTCTCTCTTTTTTTTTTTAAAAAATGCATATCATGCCACTGCTTCTTTAATACTCATTTATTTTTAAAGAGCTCTCCAAATATGATGTCATTCTTTTAGACAGCTGTATCTGACTGACTCTCAAATGGTATTTCGGTTTCTTAATAAAGCCATACAGTTCAAAGTACCAAATGGAAGTGTGTCTATATATTTTAAAGGGAAACTTATCGATACCCCCCCGCCCCCAACTTGAACTTTCTTAGCAACCTCCCCCCAACCAACTTTTTTATTGCAACTTTTATCCCAAAACATACTTTTCTAGCAAATACCCCCCAAGTAAAAAATTCATAGTTATTTGGGCCAAAATTCCTTTGTCTGTACAAGCTCGCGTCACATCTCCATAGCATGTGCAATGACCAAAGGTTAACTGCCGGACTGGTACAATAAAACCACTGTTGGACCCCAATGCTTAGCTGCCAGACCGTGTGAACAATATGCTGAACCGTAGTAAACGACTATCGGACCAAGTTAAAACAATGTCGGACCGATGTAACCTTGTGGTGGACTGAGGTAAAATAACTGCCGAACCACGTTGCATATTTGTCGGACCGATGGCACCTTATGCCTAATCACACGCACACTATGCCGACAGAGAGTACAATGCTAGATTGGCAGTTGGATGTGCCTAACCGCGTGCACCTCATGCCGGACCGCCTTTACTGTTGCCGGAGAGGAAAGAGGAGAGAGAGGCGTTTTAATTAAAGAGAGGGCATTTTGGTCTTTATTTGACTTTTTTTACTTGGGCGGGTATTTGCTAGAAAAGTATATTTTGAGGTAAAAGTTGTGATAAAAAAGTTGGTTGGGGGGAGGTTGTTAAGAAAGTTCATGTTGGGGGGGTTATCTGCAATTTTCCCTATTTTAAATTCTCCCCAATGATTTCCTATTTTCTAAGGCTGCAAAGTTATCTTTCTAGGAGCAAATAGTGTATGCTATCTTTACTGCATGCTGTTTTTCTGTCCCTGCAAATTAAATGCATGATATCTTTCTCTGTTGGAACTGTTTTTTTCATTGCTGATGCAATTTTAATGCACCTATTTGGGTGCTTGAGATACCCTCTCTTCATTTACTATACCTCTTGATTATATAGTTATTTTGCAAGTACAGATGCCATGAAAGTGGATTTCATTGTGAGAACGAGAACTGTGGCCATTCAACTTCAAAGCATTTCCGTTGGTGGAATAAGGTGACTTGTATTCATTGGTAAACTTACTGATGATTTGTTGTTTAATAATACTTTCTGTGCTTATGATATATAATATCCTTATTCTCTAGTATGTGGCAAAACCGGCATCCTTTCCTACTAGTGACGGCAGACAAGCCATGTTTCTTCTTAAATACAAAATTTTGAAAAGCACCTTTCTTCGTCGTACCAAGAAAGAGAGAGCTGCAGATCTTGCACTTCCTCCAAAGAATGTAAGTTTTTCTATCGTATAATTTCCACAAGAATGAGACCACAAAATGATGGCCGGATTGTTGGTTACTTTAGTGGACCTTCACATTGTTTATATACTATATTAAAGTCTCTGAGCTTGCTACTCTTATATTTGTTGCCAGACTATTTTGAAGGAGTATAATTTGGATAACAGAGAGGAGGAATTCTATCAACCACTGTATTCTCAAATCCACTCTCAATTTAACACGTATGTTCCACCCATTGTCTGATTTCTGCTAAGTTGTGAGTGTGATCATGTCTTTCTTGTGCATATTGAATAATGTTGTAGTCATTAACAGCCTTCGATCTGATTCCTTTAGCGATGTTTTTAAAGGATGGTCATTTAGCATGTTGCTGGAAATATTTTTTTACTTTTTCTTGCTTGCGTGGGAGTTGATTGGAACTTGGGAGGCAGTTGTTACCACACTGTCTGAAAAGTTTTGAGGAAGGAATTTGCCTGCGATGGCTTATCTGAAATTCTGTACTAAGCAATGTTGATTTCTGCGAAAGTAAAAACGCTGCACTTAGGGCTAGCTTCGCCTACAAAACTGGGGGATCATGCATTCCAATTCTGCAGTCTAGGGCCCCGTCAATCGCCTCAGATTATTGTCCTTGTTTTTTGAGCATGGGGCCTGTTTGTCGGTAATTTTGATGGGGAGATGGGAAAGAGAGATAGAGAGCAGGTTGGCAAAACTGTGTTTATTGGGAATAAGTTTTTTCTGATTCCAAGAAACCATGAACCACTTCTCCATGGGAATGGACATGCTGCAGGGGCGTGCCAAACTCCTTTTCTTCAGAGGCATATTGTTTTCTGTTTTTGTACAATCATGCATGCCCTAGATTGCAGAAATAATGTAATCTGGAGGTCATCAAAACTTCTTGTTGCGTAGTTTTTTATTTGCATTACTTTTTGGACAGGATGTTCTGTAATTTGCTGGCAAGTTGGCCTTTCAAGTTTACCTCTCCGATGAATTTGTGCTTATAAATTGGATAATAATTCTCAACACATCACTTTTCTTTTGTTGTTTTAACTCATAGTTGGGAAGCTTTGCTACCAGTTGAATCTCTAGTTTTTTGACAAGTTCTCTTCCTTTTTACATGTGATATTCTGAGAATTTACTCTTAATTGGCTGTTACATTTATAAGAAAAAGATAGATTCTCCATTGGATTCCTTTTGTGGACTGTTCTTTCTTCACAATCTTGAGATCATGTTCATCCAGTGTGCACACATGGGCTTGTATTTTAATTACATGTGCAGCGTACAGTTTTTAGCTCATAGTTTAGTCCCTTTCAGATTCAATGTTAGTAATTACATATTGGGGTGTTTAGCATGCAACAAAATTATAAGTTATTTTATTTATTTTTTACAGATTTATCTTAATCACTGCTTGTAATTTCCTTGAGATTTGAGATGTTTCTGACTTGAAGTGCAGTTACATCACTGAAGGAACTTTAATGAACAACTATGCCCACATTTTTTATCTCCTCACACGGTTACGGCAGGTAGCCTTCTCACCTTTTCTCTTTAGCCTGATTTTGCTGCTGATTTTTGGCTGTGGGATAGATTGTAAATGGTGCATGTCATTGCCTTCTCCTGGCTTCAATCTATGTATTAAGAGGTCATGATGGTGTAGCTTGTGCTCTTGAAAATGTATTAAGCATTAATATTCATCATGAAAAGCATTGCATTCATTCTTAAATGTATTATTTTGGGGAGATTTTGCTAAGAGTAGTGAAAGAAAAGTTTAACCTTCCAAGGCAAAAGAGGAAGTGCTTGTGCTACTAAATGAGAGTTGACCATTACAAGTCAAATTTGAACTTGTTTGAGATTTTAATCTAGAATAATAATCATCACTTTCTGGTTGTGCTTAATTGCTATGCGGTAAGAACATTTTTTATAAAAGGGAATAAATGTCCATCTTTTTTGTTTAAATAAAAGTTGAGCTCCAAGTCAAAACAACCATTTTAGAGTTTTATTTTTTTTTACATACTTGTCATGAATCGTCAGAGTTCTGATTGAATTCTAATACTATTATATAGATTTCTAAAACTATATATATGCATCTACTATCTGTTGTGTTTAATTAGTCTTTCCTCGAACTGATATCTGATTATCAGGATTATAGTTCTACTAGTCTTGAAATGTACCTTGAGCAGGTTTGAACTTGCAAATATGATGGATTTTCTGCTTCTCTGATCAGTGTCTTTACTCATTTATTGATATACTTATAACTGACTCATCTTGGGTAATGAACTTCAGGCAATTGATCATCAATATTTAGTGGTATTCTTTGATTCATCACAATCAAATCAGATTGGCCCTGCTGATGCAGATCAGTTATGTGGAATCTGTCATGATCCAGTGGAGGATTCCGTGGTCAGTTGTTATCTTTTTCTGAGTATTGATGTCAAATGTGTATTCTTTATAATCATTTAATTTATTTCTTGTAATAATTGTTCATGTCTTTTGTATCGTTCTAATATAGTTCCATCTTCTGTGTCGTTGTCTTTGTCCTTGGATTCTTTCATAAATTGGCATGTATCCAATGCACCATCTGATTTATTGTATATAATCCTTGCTATCCTTCTCTTTTAATTGCAATCATTTTCAGGTCACTTCTGGTGGGCATACCTTTTGCCAGGCATGTTTCCTTGATTTTACTAAAACTCCAGGGCAAGTCAAGTGGCCTTCTTGCTCAGAGTCCCTCACTATCGACTTAACTACAAAAGGGAACTCAAAATATGGGAGTAGCAAAATGGCTGTCAGAGGATTTAAACGTTCGGGAGTTATTGATCAGATTAAGAATCTTGACAATTTTCAAACGAGTACAAAAATAGAAGCTTTGGTATATATTTTGATTCTGTTTCTTCATCTATTAATGTGATTCTTTGTTCTTTTTCTTCAGTATAATTTGGTAAAGTTTTCATTGATGGCTCCTATTTATTGTCTTTCCTTGTTCAAGAAGTTTTACGTATGCACCTTCCTTATATGTAAGCATGTTGCCTATTTTCTAATTTTATCATACTATCATTATATTAGATGCTATGGACCAGATGTTTTCATTGTTTTACTTGTGGGAAAGTTCAATTTTGTATTGTGGTATTTAGTTTAGGAGGACAATTTTTTTTCTTTTTTTTATTTAATTATTGTTCTTCAAGTTTCGAAGTTCTAGTCTGAATTGTAGGACCATAGGTTCATCTCTTGCTTTTCAATTTGTGGAACTCAAAGTGCACTCATGTATATTCTCCTCAAGGGATTTTTGTTATTAATATAATTCATTTCCTTCTTTCCATCTTACCAAAACAAAATTTTTACTGGCATATACGAATTTTTTATATTTTACATCTATTAGGCTGAGTGTTACTAGCCTACAAGTGTTGTGTTTGAGAGTGCTGTTAATAAAGTGGAACCTGTGTATAAAAAAATTCATAGTTTCTCACCTTGTGCTAGAAGTGTGATGATCACCTAGACATTGACAAAAAGTTGGTATCTGGCTTTAAAGAGTCATAGTAGATTTATCTTGAGGCGTTTGTACCACTAATCTCATAGCTCTTATAACATTTTTCATTGCTGGTAAATCACCACAATAGGTAGCAGGTTGCACTAGGTGCACAAGAGAATCTGGTTGTACACAGAATTATGATTCTCAAATTTGGATCCAAGTCAAACCTGATAAATGATAGATGTTTACTGAAAATTATCTTTCACATAACCTGCAATATGCAGCATAAGAAAAAACTATGTCTTCTTTCCAAACCTCCAACAAAAAATTTTCATTGTAGATGCCCCCATTGGGAGAAATGTAAGCAGACGTACCTCCTTGTGATCTGATTACTTCCAAATTAAACACCTTAGAACATACCTATATTTTCCGTCGGATTTTGTCATTCTTTCATATCAAGTCCCAAGCTTCGTTTGAAGAAGAAGCTCTAATTGAGAAGCCTTACCTTCATGTGATCCGACTACTTCCAAATTGTGCACTTCATAACACACTTGTAACTTTGCATCGAATTTTATCTTTCTTTCATGTCAAATTCCAAACTTCATTTGAAGAAATAATTCTAACAAAGAATTTCTCTCATTCTTCCTTTTTGTCAAAACCTTGCATTGCCCCTTTTTTTGGGGCTCTCTCTCTTTCAGTATCTCTCATTTTTTCTGAACCTATTAATGGTCTCTTTTTTATCAAAATTTTAGATTGCCTCTTTCTTCTTTGGGGCCTCTCTCTTTCATTCTCTCATATTTTTTCTAACTATTAATGGCATACTTGGATATTGCTTCTGTTTTTGGGACTAATTAGTCAGTTCCCATGTAATCCATGATTTCTCTCCCCGCACAAATGAATTTCTTGTCTTGTCCTGTGTCACACAACCCTATCTGAAGTAATATATATATTAGCATAGAAAACATATCTGAAGTTGCTTCTTTAAAGTTGAGTCAGGAAAATTTCAAATTGTGACTCTATTCCCTAAGGCTCTCAATTTTTTTGTGGACTGCTGTTTAGTCTGAGGTGGAAGTTAGGTTAAACTTTCAGTAGCTCTGGATATGTGTATCCCTTAGGGATGGTGTTCATGGAACTCATACATGTGTGTGTGTGCTGCATGTGAATGCTTCTACATGCAGGTTAGTGAAATGCATAAATATGCAGTCTCTTGAACTTTGCTTGGAACTTATGGAATGTGTTAAATTATCTCTACTAATGAAACCTGTTAAATTTCCTTGAAAACAAAACAAAAGACCTATCTCACATGATTATCTTATTATGTTAATTTATTTGAGTTTAGAAAATTTTGTCTGCTATGATTTTGAGTTATGTCCCTATCTGGAGCTCTTTCTTTGTTAAGTTACTTCTTTGTTAGAGATGAATTGAACTATGGTATTTTTGCAGAAAGAAGAGATTTTCCTTATGTATGAAAGGGATGCAGCTGCAAAGGCAATAGTGTTCAGTCAGTTCAGTTCATTTTTGGATCTGATAAGCTTCGCTCTTGATAAGGTATTTTATATGTTTCAAGTTGTAAAAATGGCTAAAATGGAATCTTGATGGGCACGATAAACTTATCAACCGTAAGAGATATTGATTGTATGATCGTCATTATTGAAAGAAAGTATCTTTTCACAACAATGGTTTGATTTTTTTATTACAGGAAGGTGTAAGATGCATTCAGTTGGTGGGGAGCATGAGTTTGGCAGCTAGGGATGAGGCAATAAAGACTTTCACTGATGACCCAGACTGCAGGGTCTTCCTTATGAGCTTAAAAGCAGGAGGCATGGCTCTCAATCTCACTGTCGCTTCCCATGTAAGTAAATTATCATAAATTTTCCTGGTAAAATTCTTTGTTTTGCATAAATATTAATGAATTTTCACTTCTCATCATCAAGGATTTCCTGTTGGGGTAAATAATTTTGTTCGAGTGTTTTGTTTAAATGTGGTTCATAAATTATGTTCCTTTAAACATGAGAATAAATGCTTATAAGTTCAGAAACAAGAATTTCATTTAAAATGTGACTTGGACACCATTGGCTTTCCAGCAAATGACCTAGATACATTGTTTCTTCTTCTCTGGTTATCTTCCAAATCTTTTACCTATGTTGTGATCCATCCTGAAGCAATATGTTATTACATCTTTCCTTTGGGCCCATTTTTTTGTAATCATTTTACTTAAAACGATGCAATCCATGGTCCTTTCCAATCTTCAAGAGTTAGTGCATTACCTTTTACATGGATGAGGGCTAGGGGTTAACTATTTATGAGAAAAGATATGCCTCTCTTTTGCAAAATTGCCGAGGAGGAGTTGGATTTTCATCATGTTACAATCATTGTTGCATTATTGGGTGTATGTCAATGAATTATAATGGCCTTATATTAAGTGATATGCTGGAAACGGCTTTACTTTGGAAATTCCACTTTATATCAAGGAAAAAGTTTATATATAGAAAATAAGGTGCGCCTCAAAAACTCAAATGGAAAAGGCTGTTCTGACGCCGAAAAGCCTCCAATCGATCATCTTGACCCTGTGATGTATAGGTGTGAAAAAAAATTATTGATTTCAAGTTTTGGTATTAGTGTATCTTGAAACGTGTCATCTAGACCATCCCATTTCCATGATTTTCAAGTGTTTGTATATCTGTTTGATCTACGCTATTTTTAAAGCTTTAAATTTCATAATGAGATATAAAAGTAGATTTGAGGACCATCACTGGGATTTTAGGCACTTGAATGGCATCTTTCGGCATCAATTTGAGATGCACCTCACTTTGATTGTTTAAGGCGCCAACCTTATACCAACCTCACCCTATGGGCGATCATATGGACATTGTGCACAGGTTTTCTTGATGGATCCATGGTGGAATCCAGCTGTGGAGCAACAGGCCCAAGATTGAATTCACCGAATTGGACAATATAAACCAGTTTGGTAAGATCTGCTCTAGAGCTCCATACTTAGTTTCTTACTTTACTTCCTAAGATTGTGTCAGTTCCTTCTATTTAGTTCACTTTGTATTTTTTTTTTCCTTTTTTGTTCCATAATAGGATCGTCAGATTTGTAATTGCAAACACAATCGAGGAGAGGATTTTGCAGCTGCAGGAGAAAAAGAAATCAGTATCTGCAGGGTATTGCTCTTATTCAACAAGGCTTTCCATTAACTAAATCTGTTATTTTTACTCTTCAATCTTGATCAAATGTGCTTATATGAACAATAGGATTGTGGGTGGATCTTCAGAGGCACTGGGAAGATTAACCCAAGAAGATATACGATTCTTGTTCCAAATTTAGTTTTATCAGAGGAAGTTGTGCTCTTTCAGCTCTCCCAGACACAAGAAACTCAACAATTTTGGGTGATGTCTTGGATTTTGGTGTACATATGGGATCATTGGGTTTTGGTGCATTTCCCAGTATAGAAGAAACGAATTTTGTACACATGTAGTTTCAATCATTCAATGTTTGCTCAAAAATAATCTGCTCAGCTCTGTGACCAACTTTTGGCCAAAAATTGAGTCATGGGGAGAAACAAAGGGAAAAGAAGAAGAGATAGGAAGGAGTTGCTGAACTCAATTCTTGTTGTTGGTTTGATTCAAGGACCCTTCCCATACAAAATGAATCAATTCATATGGAAAGCCTGTGGAACCCCTCCCATTCTTGTTCATGGGACATGAATTCCCTACTTGTACAATTTACTGTAGTGCCCCTTATCTTATATTCAATTCCAAGTTCTTTTATTGGACATATATCTCATCTCTCTGCCCCTCCCTCCCTTCCCTGCCTTCTCTCTATGTTGAAAACTGCCAAATCAGACTATAGTCAGCAAGTCTCCTATTAAACCTCCTTTTTTTTTCCTCTTAAAAAATACTCCCAATTTTGTAATGGAAAAAACTTATATAAGGTGCCAACCTTATATTGTAAAAGTAAGGTGCACATAAAAATTCATTGAAAAAAGTTGTTTCGTCACTAAAAAATTCTCCAATTGATCATCTTGGCCTCGATATGGATATGAAAGAAAAAATGAATTTCAAATCCTAAAATTAGTTCATCTTATAACATATTATTTAGACCATCCATTTTCAATATTTTTAAGTCTTCATAGATTTGTTAGATTTGCACCATTTTTGGAACTTTCAATTTCATAAAATACGTTTTTTAATGAGATTTTGAGATGCATCTTACTGTGATTGTTTAAAGATGTCACCTTATGCGGATCTCACCCTTTTTTTAAATCCTTGAAGTACTTCAAGGTTTTTCAAAAGATCATAATAAAATTTTTTTTTTTAATGGAATTGATACAAATTCGTACTTTTTCTTTTTCTAAAAAAATTCTTTTGAGAATAAAGTCTTCCTCATAACTTTTATTTAACAAAAAAGTCCATTAGAAATTGTCATCACCAAGTTCTCTTAAAAAATTGTATTAGAAGAACATGATGTATGTATTCCTAGAAAAATAATCTCTCAAAATAATTGTATATCTCAATATAACAAATATAGTTACACATCTTAACCTAATGAAATCTTTTTTTGTAAACCAAGAGCATCATTATAAAGAACATGAAAGATTCAACCATAGCCAAAGATCTGACAACTGGGAATTCAAAATGACGATCGAATACTTGGGTTTTCTTGCCTCTATTTTTTTTTGGTATTACTAAGTATTTTGTTGTTTCCTTTTCGTATACTGGATGGACCATTATTTTATATTTTAAAGTTTTTGTATTTTGTTAACTGCAAACCTATACTGAGGGTTTTTGTTTTTTTTGTTTTTTCAATTAGTAATCCTATTACAGTTATTTTTATTTGTTATTGTATTATTATGTTGAGTATTGTTGATGTTTCATTGTGCGCTCTCAATTAATCCATCATATGATTTGTGTACTGATATTAGAGCATTGTTGTTGTATTTAGTGAAAAATTAGACAAATCTTCTCAAGTATTACCCCAAATGATACCAGGTAAGGGCATAAAAACTATTCCTCAATAACTTTAATGTATCCATATAGTAAATGTAACTCATGGTTTTATCTTGTCATCTTTACATATCAAATTATTTCACTTCGCTTTTTCAGGCCAAATCCGAAATATTCATGAGTTGTTTAGTTACACTAAGTTTTAACATTAAATATTGTTTACCGGATTTTGTGCCTCCAACTTTTTAGGACAAACCTGATTTGGTATATTGATTGTCCACTATATTTTTTATTCTACGAAGTCCTAACTAAGAATCAGACCGCAAAGAACCAGAGTGGGACAATACCCATCAAGAAAAAACAAAAGAGACAATAAAAAACAACCAGCAAGTTTTATCCTGGTGAGAGAAATACCACATTCTCATGGATCAATTAAGGTGGACAGCCATCGGAGACGAGAGACGATACTCGAGGAGTAGGGTCCTCACCATTCTCAATCTAGTAATTGGAAGGCCCATTTACATCAATTTTGTTCATTTTAATGGTTGTTTTATGTGCCCTAGTAATTTTTTGAGTTCTCATGTTCTTACCACTAACCTTTAAGTTTTCTAGAGCGGTTTATGACATATCATGGGCGAGTAGCCAAGTGGAGGATGCTCCTGAGTGAATTTGACATTGAATGCAGGCTCCTCGTGTGTACTTGATAGCTCTTTGAGATTTAAAGGGAGCTGACAAATTCTGCTTGTGCACTTCAGGATTCTAGCGTTGATTTTGTGGTATAGGGTCAAGGCTTGTAGAGTTGGATCCATATTACAGGACTGGTTTATGATTTGATCCGAAGATTTTCCTAGAGTGGGTTCATGTAAATTCAGTCAATGTCAACTGTGCCTAGTGGTGGTTAAAGTTTAGTTGCCATTATTTGTACAAGTCAATGTGCAAATGTGCAAATATGAGTTCTGTAAGGACATCCTGGTATTTTATATTGCCTTAATATTGACACTTCATTCTCCATAGCATACATGCATGACTTCCTCATCAACCTGGTATTTTCTAGAATTTTGGGTATAGCGTGTGTATGTGCTTGACAGAAACCCTTCACTACATGTATTAGTACCTGAAATAGGTTAAAAAGTCATCGCAAAAATTAATAAGCTAGATATGACTTGTATTTTAAAGGCGCCCTTGCAATCCTAGGTGAACTTGTAATCTTTTCTATTTCTAGGTTGAGTTCGATGGACCAATCATAAGTCCCTCGCATAATAGTATTCTTGAGTCATTGGTTCATTGGGTTAGTTTGAGGGTAGGTAGTGATTATCGGTGTTATCTAAGAGTGTCTAGTGGAAAAAGAATTTTTTTTGCCCCTGGGCATGTTTAATCATCGAATGATATCTTTCCTATATATTAAAAAAAAAAACCATTCCTAGATTTTCTTTCATGTTTTTGAGAGAAAGGAAACTAGTTTTGGTCACCTCAATCTTATGTTATGGTTTATTTAAATAGAAAATGATTTTTCTGAAAAAATATAAATTTGTTCTAAAGAAAAGACTTTTCTTGTATAATGTTTTTGTTTTGGAGCTCTATTTGGAAATTACAAAAAAAAAAAAAGTGGGGCAAGATTATAAACATCTGATGTGTGTTATGTGGGAGCACATGTGGGAGCCACACATGCGTAGCATGGGATCACGTGGGGTCCACTCCAATGGGTGCCACATGGGGCCTACATATGGGAACCTTATGTAGCACACTCTATGCCCTTTTGAGTCTCTTAATTCTTTTGGATGGTATGATTTAAAGAGACCTATGTGGATTCTAGATTTCCCTGGATTTAAAAGACTATAGGAGGATATAAAAATATTTTCTAAAAAGGAATTGGTTAGTTATGACAAGGGTACATGGATTTTTAGAAAGGTGCAACCCTCGTTCAAATGGAAGGTTGTTTGGAAGGTTCCTACTAGGGATAAGTGTGCGATTCTAGACTTTGAATCATGTTGGTAGGGGGTTAAGATTTAATCTCTTGCCTCTTGAGTTTCCCACTTCTAGTTTAAAACTATGCACATGTAAAGGCATCTCCTCCTCTCTGGTAACATATTTTAGCTTGACAACCCAAAATTGTGAGGTAACCGAAAGATATAATGCTTAAGTTAGTGAAAATAAAAGAGTGTTAGAGGGATGGTTATTTATGGGAAAGGCTAGTGTTTGATGCTGGTTTTGAGAGTTGTGTTTGTGCATATTTTTGACATACTAACTCCTTACGTCAAATAATATTGACTTTTGAGCAATTTTGAGAAGATGTCGTCTTGGCCCCAAAAAGCATGAGAGGGTGGCATTCGATGTTCTAATAATGCCTGATAAGTTTCGTCCTAATCCGATAAAGATAAACCAGATCAGGATGAAATTTTACATTTCGCAATATCGCTTTCTAACATGCTGAAAATTACCTTATAACTAGAGTTATACTTCCAAGGTTTTAGATGAGTACCTGACCACCACTATTGGATTCAAAAGCCCCAAAACCTCCAAATATCAATTTTCAACTCATTTGGATGCTTTTAGAACATTCTAAGACAACCTTACCCAAAACGGGAAGTTTTACACTATTCATGTGCAGCTGGAAACTGTGTTTCTTGAAAACGAGAATTCTTTGGGAGGTCATAACTTCTTCATCTTGAGGCCAATTAAGTTTGTGCGTCTCATCAAGATGCAATATATAGCACGGCCCGAGATCTCAAAATGGAAGAAATCTTAAAGAGAAGTTTGACAAAAATGCACAGATTGTAGAATTTTTAAAGAGAAACATCCATTCACTCTTGTAGCCATATCTTGAAGCCTCGACATCGGATAGCTTCAAGTGCAGGTCTATGGTAACTACAACTCAGAGGGCTTCGATTTGAGGTAAATTTTGTTCAAGATTAAGGGTGGGAATATACCTTATTTTAGTTTGAAACAAGGCATGATTTTCCAATACCCGAATCCCATTTTCTGGCAACTACCCAAATAAAGAAAATGATCAATCAACATTCAAATCGGGGGGTTTTCATTTCAAAATGATCACAACGATCTTCCCTTCGATTTGTGATAACGAAAAGGACCAAAAACATGGTGAATCGAGCTACATCAAGGATTGAAGTTCTAAAGAATATGGGTTTGACCAGATTTTGGGATCAACGTCAAAAATTCGATTCAAGCTTCATAATGGATACCAAATTGATCGTCTCGAGACAAGCATCATTTCTACGGTACTGGATCGCTCGAAATAGTATCGTACAACATTTAAAAATGCCCTGAGGCATGGCTATGGCAAGAGGCCCCTTTAAGAGGAATGGTTTTGTCATTTTTAAAATTCTAGCCAATTTTAATATTTTTTTAGCAATTTTGTTGTATTTTGGTCATCCCCCTTCTTTTGTGGTGATCATATATAAGTTATTTTTACTCATTTGTAACCTATGTTGGAAAGAGAGATAAAAATCCTAGGATTTGCTTCTTTGAGCTTGGGTTTGTGCTTCTTTCTTACTTCAAAAGAGCGGAAAGAGTATAGCATTGAGAGGAATACCCTTGGACTCTCAAACCTCCATAACCTAAACTTCCAAACCCCCCACTTCCTACTCCCATACTCCATACTTCCTGCACCTCAATATACCCTACACCCTAGACCACCCATCTCAACCCACTTAACCCTACTCCCTACACCAATCCTTACTATACAACCTAATCTACCTATACCTCACCTATCCACTTATACTCCTTAGATCACCATAACCTATACACCACACCCTACCCATGCACTATACACCATATTCCTCTTTAGGGCCATCTTAGCCCATTCC